CGTGTTATTACAGCTTATCATCAAACAGCCTGCCCAGTAGCACGCAGGATTATTGTTCCCAGTTCGGCTGGGGTCTTGGCTCGTCTGATGTCAACAAGAGAAGCTCAAACTTTCACTATTAATAAACAATATGATGTACGTTCTGTAGGCCTACGCAGTAAGTGAAAACCACAAAGTAGGATTGCTATATTTATTTATTTATTTTAACACAAGTTAAATTGACATAGATTTCTGAAACAACAAACCAAAACAGTTCAGTCATCTAGTAAATTTAAATCAGCTAAACTAAAGCAAATGTTTATTTAGCAAGAGTTTATTAATCAAGATAACTTGATAATGTTTATTCACTCAACTTAAAATTTTAAGTTGAGTGAGTAGTAATGCCTTAAAATTCTAAGGTTTTATAAACCCGTACTCACCGGCCTTGGTCCGGTTCTGATTGGCTCTCTGCAGCCGTTGAGCACCAAGACGCTTTTAGAGAGAGCCGGACCTTCGGATAGCCTGCACAAAGCCACACAATGGTTCTGATCGAGTCCAAATCCGAATGAAAAAAGTCTCGGTGAGCTCCGGAGAAAACACAGGACCTCAAAGCAATGCATCCCCACTCGAGAGGCCTTGTGGGCCGGCAAGCAGCTCTCAGATTGACAGATGAGGCTGGAAGTCCAGTTCTGGTCCAATTCCCGGTTGATTCTGTGCGGCTCTCTCCATCCACTGAGCGCCGAAGTCACTATGAAAAAGGACCAAACTTTTTCAGATCAGATCAAAACTTTCCCTCCATTTCAGCAGAAAGTAACTTTGGCTTTTGGGTAATGTAGTCTTTTGACTGGCGATACAGTTTAGGCTTATTGAGAGAGAACTACATAATGGCGGCGCCTGTCCAAAGTATTTTTTTCATTCACTTTTTACTGTACCCTGTACTGTCCCAATAATATGAGTATTATTAAAGTTGACAATCACGTGTTGTGTACAATCTTTATTTTATTTATTTATTTTTGTCGCGTACAATCTTACTTTGAAAAACCACAAAAGAGCGAGTCCGCAAAAGTCGAACCGCGAAGTAGCGAGGAACTACTGTATTCTGGACCTAAAGATGTCAGAAGTTCAGCATCCAATAGTCATTCAACCTTTATATCAACCTTTATATTTATATCCACACAATGGGGAAGTTTATTTAGAATAAAAAGAAACAATAAATTTGAACAACTTGTAAATGTACGTGCTTTTTATACATTTTATTTAATGTGACGTGTGGGCTGGTTCATCACTTTTCATTGATGAGGACTAACATGTAGCTATGTAGCTTTGCTGCTCTGACTCCTGAGACCAACACAGTGATGTTGCTGAATCATTATGAAGCTGCTAATTTAGTTGTTTTGTAAGTAAGCATAAATCAGTTCATTTACTCTTCTCATTCTCATTCTTATAATCATTTTTACAATGTGCCGTGAGGCTTTTAGTGCACCAGCACAGAATCCGAGCGTTGCAGCGCTGTAGCTGGATGCTCTGTTGCCGTGGACACCATCTGTAGCTGCTCCTCAAGGCCGCCGACATCGCAACAACAGGCACGAACATGATGTGAGAGGCGACGTCTTCCATGTGCGCTCTGCCCGCATCTCCATTTCTTCCTACCCTGCCTGCGTTTGACAGCCCCCACTTATCACTTCTTTTCCTGCAACTTCTAAAATTTCCCTGACGCAGCGTCGCGCTCGCTACACCAGGACTCTCTCTCCGGCTCGTTCTCCTCATGCAGGCTGACGTTACCTCTTCTGGAACCTGATTTATTTATTTTTTTTATCCAAAATGGTGGAAGGTGTTGAATTTAAAATTTATAGAAGCAGGTATAATTGCTTAAAATTCTCTGATGTGCATTTTTGCCCAACCTAAGTCACTAATCCTGCACTGAGCTGTGGGGGGTCAAATGGGGCGACTGCAACATGATCTTTTCTGACTTTATGGCTGCCCCCCCCCCCCCTTTCTGCAGACTCACACACTAAAATTACACCCACTTTCCAGCCCTCACTAGTTATCATTGTCACTCATTGGACTGCTGCTATTTTTCTCCTCAACGTTGTTCAGCTTTCACAGCTCAGCATGTGGTGTGTCTGAACTAATCTAAAAGTTCTTATTTAAATTTACAACACTGTTTGACTGCCTTGTGTTGTATATAAACATGTAAAAGTAATAACAAAACTAGCCTCGAGTGTATTTTTTGTTAAATAAAGTTTGTATAACAAACTGGAATTAACTGATACCAGTTAATTCCATTATAAATGATAGCAGGAGTGATAATAACAAATGTAAAACAAATTAATAAATTATCTAGCTGGACGGATTGTACAAAAACACTTGTAATCTTTTATAAGTTGACTGAGTCTTATGCATAGTTAAATTTGGGTCCTAAAATCTGTAAGATAGTTTAAATTTTATAAATAAAACAAGTCAGTTGTTAAGCTTGCGTACTTTTGATTTTATTCTTTGCAAAACTGCACATGAAAGACCAACTTATGTAAGCACTGTATTTAAGCACGGGAGGTTATCTATCTCGATTTTTGCTTCGACATCACACTTTAATATTTTATACAAGTAGGCTTAAAGTTGTGCAAACACATTTATTTAAAATAAATTAGGAGAGTAGTTTGAAAATTAAAAAAAAAAACATTTTATTTTACAAATTCTATTGGTTTCTACATTAGCCTGCCATTTTGACACCTGTTGATAACTTATACTAACTTACTGTATATATATTTCAATTCACTTCAATTTTTTTATAAAGCACCAAATCACAACAGAAGTTGTCTCGGGGCATTATAAAAGGCAAAAGTTCTCTATCTAAGGAAGCCAGCAGACACGTCGAGTTTGAACTTCGTCGCAGTCTCCCATCCTGAGCGAGCACAATGGCAACAGTGGAAAGGAAAAACTCCCTTTTAACAGGAAGAAACCTCCAGCAGAACCAGGCTCAGGACGAGCAGCCATGTGCTTTGACTGGCTGGGTTTGAGAGGAACAGGAAGGAGAGACAAACGAACACATGGCAGGTCCAGATGTAGGTGCAGGTGTACCTGAAAGACAAAAACACATGTCAAGGATAGAAAAAATTATTACAAATACAAAACAGGTAAAGCAGAGTAAGTAAGGACATAAGCAAAGTGAAGAAATGTGGTTAATTTATCCTCCAGCAATCTAAGCCTATAGCAGCATAACTAAGGAATAGCTCAGGAAGCCCAAGCCAACCCTAGGATTTATCAAAGAGGAAAGTCTTGTCTAATTTTAAAACTGGACAATGTATCAGCCTCACAGACAGAAACTGGAAGTTGGTTCCACAAGAGAGGAGCCTGATAACTGAAAGATCTGCCTCCACTCTGTTTTTAGAAACTCTAGAAGCCACAAGTAAACCTGCAGTCTTGAGAGCGAAGTGCTCCGTTAGGAAAATATGGAACAATAAGATCTGTAATGTAAGATGGAGCTAGGTTGTTGAGAGCTTTGTAGGTTAGAAGTAAGATTTTGAATTCAATTCTGAATTTGACAGGGAGCTGGTGGAGAGAAGCTAAAACTGGAGAGATATGATCTCTCCTATATATATATTATAAATCAACAAATGATGCCAAACTATTGTTTTGAAATGGTGTGCAACACCTGATTTGATGTGCTTATTCAAATATTTTATGTGGAAACAAACCCATAGAACATATTTTATTATTTGAATTGCACAGAAAACCACGTGGACTGACTTCAGAGGTTGTTCTTCTTGTAATTGCTCTTAGTTTTTCTGCATACTCTGCAATACCTTAAAATAATAAATCTGCTGAGAATATGAAATGTCAGTATCAAGCAAAATATGTTTAAGACAGTATTCCCTTGCTCTCCAGTTAAAACCTCTTCCCTGGTTCTTGTTTCTTCCTCTTTTCCTGGCACCTGTCTGGTTCTCGGGTGTCAGTGAAAGTAAAGGAGATGAAAGAGTGGGATACAGTCACGTCAAAGTATAGAGATGAATCCCACTGAGGTCAACTCTGTCAGCGAGGGAGAGCATAGATGCCACAGTCAGATCAGCTGTACCAGCAGGCTGAAAGTAAATACTCGGCTTTCTTGCATTGTGGACATGCTTGTGTGTACATTTTCATGTTTGTCTTCTGTGTTTCTGCCATTAGCTATTAGAGCACAGTCCCAACGAGTATGCTCTTTTGCTGGCGTTGGAATATAAACTTGCGTGCGACAAAACGTCTACCGGGACCACTTCTTGAACTGAAGGTACACGCTTATACATGCAGCAGGCAGCAGAAAGCGATACCTGTCTGAAATAATTCCATATTCAGATGGTTTGATGTGTGACCTCTGAACGACTCCGGATAAAATATAGACTCATCATGTGAGTGCACCATATTTTTAGTGTCACTTGACATGTACTGTAGCTAAACTTAAAGGCTGAAGAAAAGCACTGCAGTATCACTCCTGACCCCCCTGGGGCAAGGGGACATACGTGCACACACGTCCCAGCTGAGACAGACCGAAATAGCAAGTCGTTAACAATTAGTGATGGACTGACTCCAGACCTAATGGAAATTTGACAGTCTGACACTGAAAACAGAGGACTGCACGTCTTTTATAACGCAAGATCCAGCTAATGAGTTAGACATTTTTCAGTTAATGTTGCATTTAATGGTGTTTCAACTCAAAGTTTGAAGCTAGCATGCCCACATTGATGACATGTTCAGCAGTTGTAATCCTTGGGGCATCAGCATGCCTGTATTAGCAATTTAACAAGAAACACCAAGTACAGACAAGACTCGTTGAAATGATTGGGTTGAGCAGTATTCATTCAAAGATTAACAAACTTTGCTGTTCTTTGAGGCAAATGAGCAAATTTTGCCAGAGTTTTAGGAACGTGTGAGTGAACTTCACCAGATTATTCAAACAAAATCTGTACCTGCTCCTCAGGAGCTTAACTGTTTTTTTGAAACGCTCCCTGACTCAAAAAACACCATCGCTTCTTCTTTTGTTCTCTCAGGGCCGTTGTTCCAGGGAGAACTGCAAGTACCTGCACCCCCCTCCCCATCTAAAGACCCAGCTAGAGATCAATGGCAGGAACAATCTGATCCAGCAGAAGAATATGGCCATGCTGGCCCAGCAGATGCAGCTCGCCAATGCAATGATGCCCGGCACACAGCTACCCCCTATGGTGAGAGGACACACACGTATGAACACACACGAGCTACTGTCCATGGTGAGGCCACAAATATTTCAAACAATCACACATAGACTGTGCTTTCTCCATGTTGCTCTGTCAGCCTATTGGGTTCTATTTTCATATATATTTTTTTGTTTTCCTCACCCAGAGTCCTTGGGGATTGTGCAAACAGTTTATCCACTGCCCTACATTTTTCTTCTTTCTGCCTCCAGTCTATATTCCCGGTGACGCCAGGCCTGGCTACTAACGCCAGCGCAGCAGCAGCTGCTGCAGCTGCAGCCTTTAATCCCTACCTGAGCCCCATGTCTCCGAGCTTGATGCCTCCGGAGATCCTGCCCAGCACCCCTGTCCTCATGGCCTCCAGCCCCACCGTCAGCCAGGTCCCCAACGCTGCTGCAGCTCAGAAGCTGCTGAGAACAGACAGACTTGAGGTAACAAACAAATGGGAACAACCCATTTTTATTTGGATGTGAGGATGCTTTGTGTAATAAAGATTCAGGGACGTCCTCCCAAAAAGCTTCCAAACTAAAAAAAAACTCTTCTTTTATTGTGTTTTTCTGTTAGCCAGAGAATTGACTGTAATAAGAATGAGTTTGTATGAAGGGTATAGGTTGTTTAGGATTTTATTCTACTTAAACCTGAACTGTAATATTAATGCAAGAGCAATAGTATAAACTTAAGTTTAATCAAAAGGGGAAAATAAAGCTAATGAATGATATCTTATTGTTTGACTACAATCGTGATCTAAGATCTGCTTTTATTGGAATAGTTATTTATTAGTTTTGTTCCAGTCGAGTTTGTTATTTGGACAAACACACGCAACAAAGGCCATGACACTTTCATCCCTTTGAACTTTCATGTTCTTCGTTTGAATAAAAAATTGTTTTAACAGCAGCTGCAAGGAAATATGTTATTTTTTATCAATTTGCTACGAGAAAAATGTACACCAAACTCATATTGTTGCAACTGCAGTAGAACAATCTACTGCATTTTAATATTTTTTTATTACTTCTATTTAAAATCTGCTGCAAATCATGTAAGACTGTGTTAGCAGAACAATGACCTGACAGCTCAAATGGAAAAGAAAGTGCTGCCCTCTGCTGTCTCCTCCTCAGACCTGACACGTGTTTGAGATTTACACTTTGTAATATCTCAGTTGTTCACGTTGAACGAGTTTTTATTCAGCAAATTTAGTTTTAGCACAAAGATTTTATAGATACAGTTCAGAACCTGATGACTCGTTGTGGTTAAACAGGAAGTTGAACATATTTGTCTATCTTTTAGTTTATTTTTTACTATGACGCTCTCTCTATATTAATCTGCTCGTGTGCTGCTCATTTTATTCTGTTCTTCCTGTGTTTGTTGAACTGTTTTAACGTCTTGTTTTTATTGCCATTTGCTTTTATTAAAAGTGTTTTATTTACATTTATATTGATCATATTTGAATTTTAGTTTTATTATCATTATTTATTTAGCTATTGCTTTTTCTCTGTAAAGCACATGGTGGGTTTATATTCAGTTCCATTCAGTTTATTTATATAGCACCAAACATGTTAAGATATAAATGGTATTAAATAAAAACTATAATTTTAACAATTCATTGAAGGAAATGAGGTCAATTTGTCCTCCAGTAGTCTAAGCCTATAGCAGCATAACAAGTCAACCCTAACTATAGGATTTATCAAAAAGGAAAGTCTTAAAACTGGACAATGTGTCAGCCTCATGGACAGAAACTGGAAGTTGGTTCCACAAGAGAGGAGCCTGATAACTGGGAGATCTTCCTCCCATTCTGCTCTTGGAAACTCTAGGAACCACGAGTAAGCCTGCAGTCTGAGAGCGAAGTGCTCTGTTAGGAAAATATGGAACAATAAGATCTCTTATATAAGATGGAGCTAGGTTGTTGAGAGCTTTGTAGATTAGAAGTAATATTTTGAATTCAGTTCAGAATTTGACAATATTGTGTTAGCTATAATAACACTAAGGTAAAAAAAACAAAAAAACAAGTAATTTTACATCCTGTCAAATTACTAAGTAAAATGTGGTAATTGACCTGAAATTGAAAACGTATACAAAACACAAAATGTTCAAACTCTCTGTCTAACCTTATTTGCAGGTTAACCTTTTTACACTCTTGTCGTTGCTAGGTATGTCGGGAGTACCAGAGAGGAAACTGTGCTCGGGGCGAAGGCGAGTGTCGCTTCGCTCACCCTGCTGACAGCACCATGATCGACACCAACGACAACACGGTCACCGTATGCATGGACTACATCAAGGGTCGGTGCTCCAGGGAAAAGTGCAAGTACTTTCACCCTCCGGCACATCTGCAGGCCAAAATTAAGGCCACCCAGCATCAGGTGAACCAGGCCACAGCAGCCGCAGCCATGGTGAGCAGCTTTTATTAGTCAGGTCACTCATTTAAACCAAGACAACAGGCTGAGGTACTGTCTTGTGAAATTATAAAAGTCACAGTAAGGCTTTAGATCATGCTCAGGTTTTTCTTGCCTTCAGGATGACATTTGAAGTTCTGCTTTCGCCTGGTCTAACTTAAAAAGCCTGCATGTTGGTTTAGTCAAAACCTGCTCAGTACTGGGCTGAATGAAAAAAGATCAGATACACCATGACCATTTTTACTGGCATGTCAAGAGGGTTTTTTTTTTTCCAATTCTACAAACAAATTCAGATTATTTTCATCTGTTAGACTACAGAGTTCAAGTTCTTCTTCCTCTCTGACTTTTTTTTTTTTTACGACTCTATTGTTTCTGTTCTTCCTATCGATAACTTCTTCCTCTTGACATAAAAAAGGATCCATTGTGCTTCCAGTCCTTTCCTGCAGTAACGCCACCGTTAAATATAGCAGTGCGCTCGTCTATTGATCACAGTTATTTCTACGTGCTTTCGCTGTGAAACAGAAGGACTTGTGGGTGAATCACTGTAATGTGAAGCTGACCACTTAATGCACAGTGAAACTTGTGAAATGTACTTCTGCATAGTCTGCTGTCTGTTCGTGAGACTCACTCAAAGTAACGATTAAATAATCTTTCTTTGTTGCTGTTTTCACTTTTTCTTGTGCGAGAATAATCAATGTAGCGTGGTAGTTATTTGTTACCCTCGAGGATCATTTAACTGTTGAGTAGTAGAGCTAGTGTTCACACTGTGCATGCCTTAGCCTTGTTATCCCCTTTGTATACTGCATTCCAATGATTTGTTTTTTTATTTGTTTTGTTTTTTCTCACCTATACCCAAAACTGCACTGCTGCCCCCATGATGCACCTCTGCTTGCTGGTTTATGTTAATGCGCTTGAACCCCATTGGCCCATTGCCATCATGTGCTCGCTGCCTGCTAATTAAGACTCAGTCGGCTGTCAAATCACTGAAGCGACCCCTCGACGCAACCTTTGACCTGGTACTATGACCTTTCACCTTTTAGCTTGTCATGCATGTGGCTTTGTTGTACAGCAGTGTTTTAACCAGATTACTTAGCTACACATGTTTGTCTCACTGCAACGTCTGTTCTTTTCTCCTGCTTGGGATGAAGTGGTTGTGGCCTTTCGAGCTCGAGTTACAGAGAGTTGGCAGCGAGGAGCTACAACCAGTTCATCACATGCAGCCTGTTTAACAGTAGTTAGCGAGGGCTAGAGAAGTAGAGCTTCAATGGTGGTGGCATGGCTTCAATCTTCTGTCTAAATGTTAGTATTGTGGAGCAGCTCAATCAAATGTGTGCATGTCTATGTTCTTATTGCATGTCTTAATGAATACGGGTGGGGCTAAGAGATAAAAAGTCTTTAACCATATAGGAGTGATCCCACCGTAACAGGTTATCACAGTTCAAATGATAGTTCACTCGTCTCTAGATCTCGTAGCTACTCTGACCTCAGGAATGGCCTAATGCCAAGATCAACCCCCCTATGTGAAGTGGTTAAAAATAAAGTTTTCATCCCTCTTGGCCTTAAACCATTTTTGACATTTGATCCCCAAGAGTGAACCGTCACTTAAACATGGCTTACACAGTTTGATCATGGAGCTAGCAGTGCAGCCTCCCTTTCTTTGTGCTTATTATCTGTTCCACCTTGTTAGCAGCCTCGTTGTTTTACAAGTTAATGCTTGCTTATTAGTCAGCCATAGGAGTACAACGTTAACAAGCTTTAAAATGTGTATATATATATATATATATATAAATGCCTGTCAGCACATAGCTCCAGTAGGCATCATGCTCCTGCTTGTGTAGTAATTGTGTCAGATTGCTGCTTGCTTGCTACTGATGATACGATATTGAAATTGTTGTACACACAAACTGTGACTCTGATGTCCTCTAACGTATGAACCTCTTTTGTTTTCTTTCCTGTTTTTGCCTCTCTAACACACCCTCTCTCTCTCTTTCTACTCCACACACCTCTTTCTGTCTCTGCTTCTTATTTTTTCCTTTGTCACTGAACCTCCCTCCATCTGGATGGGCAGGGCATCACCCCTAGCATCATGGCTCCCCTCCCAAAGCGGGCAGCCCTGGAGAAGGCCAACGGGGCTACTGCCATGTTTAACACCGGCATGCTCCAGTACCAACAAGCCCTGGCCAGCATGCAGTTTCAGCAGCAGGCTGCTTTCCTCCCATCAGGTATGGCTCTCAAAGCAATCAGCCAGTGGATGATAGCTGGATCAGTCTAACGGCTCCTTGCTTGGCTGGGGTTTGGCAGCAATACAACACACTTTCAACATAAATTGTTTAGAAATCGTCTTTTTTCCTCTTAGACCAAGAGAAATAACTACTTTGGATAGATAACTTTCACATCTAGCTAAAAAAACATTTTACATGTGGAAAATGATGTAATGTAGTTTAGCCTAAAATGCTTCAGAAATATGTTTTATGCTTTGTATGGCACTGCATGGCCTCAGGGAATTAAAGAAGGGTTTGTATTTCTCTTTGCCTACTAATTTCCTTAATACAACTACAAATGGATACTTATACCTCTTAGTTGATGTTTTAATTTACTTTTCAGACAAGTGATAAAACTAAATATGTTTATAAGGTTGTTAAATAAATCCAACAACGTTCAGTCAGGTCATCTGGACGCTTTTGTTTTTTTTAAATACGTTTTGTTCTTAATCCAAAGGACTTCATCAGTCCGAGGAGCCACAACTTACTCAGTCCCATAAGCAGCGCACACACATAGTGGGCCAACCAGTTTGATGGTGATACGATTGTTTCTGGGGCCCACCCTCTCCCCTATCTACTCCTCTGAGGCAGCCATAGCCAAAGTGGTTCAAAACATCAAAGTTCACGCTCAATAATCCAGGTAAAAAAAGTCCAACAAAGTTCAGTCAGATCATCTGGTCATTTGAACCGCTTTGGCTATGGCTACCTCAGAGGAGTTGACAGGGGAGAGGGTGGGCCCCAGAAACCATCTTATCACGAGCAAACTGGTTGGTCCACTATGGGACTGAGTTTGGTGTGGCTCCTCGGGCTGAAGAAGTCCTTTGGATGTAGGACGAAACATCTGAACAAAAAAAGAAACTGTCCAGATGACCTGACTGGACATTGTTGGATTTTTATATTACCTGGATTATAAAGCATAAACTTTGATGTTGTTAAATAAAATTGTCTTCAGTGTGATAACTCAGTGGTTTGGGGATCTTTGAATCAATGGAGACTGATGGTTTCAGAAATATCTTGTGCCTCACATTGATTATAAACAAAAAGAGTCAAGTTTCTTTAAATATTTCCTTTTCCTCTTACTGTTTGGGTTTGTACATGATGTTTAACACTCAGTCATTTAATCTGTAACTTTACTATCACTGTTAGTAAAATATCTCATATGCATTATACATTAGAGAGAAATCTCAGTTCAGACTCGACCTGCTCTGAGATGAGTTCACCACTTCAGCTCTCCTCTCATTGGTGTCTGTGTTGAATAAATATTAACCTTTTTCCCTCCTCTTACATTATCTCTCCCTTTCACCCTAACAAATCTTGTGATGGGCTGTTTTGATTTCTCTCCCCTACCCAATCCACTTCCTGTTGCACTGCATGATGGGCAGGCTCAATTTTGTGCATGACACCTGCAGCCAGCGTTGGTAGGTTCCAGCTTTCTTTCTTCAGTTCTTTGTAACCTCATGTGTGTAAGTCACTGATCATCAACATTAAACTGTCCAGTGAATGTTTTTTATGTCTCATCTGTGATTTCTGTGACGTAAATGTCACAGTTTTAGTTAAGAGATAAGAAAGACAAATATATTTATTAGTTGTTGTTAATTATCTTCATTGCTGTTGTTGATTACCGTGTTAGTTGAACTGACCCTTTTTTTTTTTTTTGCTAGATTATCTGTGTACACTTACTATAAACTGCTTGAACACTTTCAGTCTCGTGCTTGTTCTGAATTAGTTTTGGCTGATCTAACCTGATATCTTTGAAAACAGTAAAAACTACTAAAGGGGTTCTATTATAACTTAACTCTTTATCTCCTCTGCTAAACTCTCTTCTTAAGACTCACACTGACAGATTTTTTGGGGGTCATATTTTAGTGGAAACCTTTAAAGATAGTTTTCATCTGGTCTTTTACCAAGAAAGCAAAGCTGTAACAAACACTTCATCACAACAAGACTTAACTGCAGAGGAGCAGGAGGACATGTTCAATCGAATCCCTTTCAGCGTCCTTCTCCTTCTTATTTATTTTTATTCTTCTTTTTGGTTTGCCTGATGTGTCTGTGGCTCCTCTTCTCCTCTGTGTATTTACGCTTACATGATTTTCCCTCCAAAAAAGTTCCCATGATGCACGGTGGTACTCCAGCCACTGTGTCTGCAGCCACCACATCTGCCACAAGCGTTCCCTTCGCAACTGCCTCCACCAATCAGGTTTGCACCTCTGCCACCTCACTCCATCCATCCATCCATCCATCCATCTATACATCTATCTATACATCTATCTATCTATCTATCTATCTGTCTATCTATCTATCTATCTATCTATCTATGTATCTATCTATCTATCTATCTATCTATCTATCTATCTATCTATGAATCTATCTGTCTGTCTGTCTGTCTGTCTGTCTGTCTGTCTGTCTATCTATCTATCTATCTATCTATCTATCTATCTATCTATCTATCTATCTATCTATCTATCTGTCTATGTATGTATCTATCTATCTATCTATCTATCTATCTATCTATCTATCTGCCGAT